GCTGCAAGCATGGAGGTAAAAAAGGACAGAGGTGTGAATTCGACATTCAACACCAATCACCAAACAATTCAGAAACTTTTAGCCTTCGAAAATGAAAACAGTTAGCAGTGTGTAAGGACTGTGTAATTTCCTGTTTGTCCGACGCTTCGTTTTCGTGTCACTGTCAAAATTATTGCTACCTTTTACTTAAAAGGGCCTAAATGGCCTCTATAAAACGATAATCAGGATCGCAAAAAAAGTCAACTGATTTGAAACACTTGCTGGACGTTCTTCTCTCTTCTGAAATCCGCCTCGGTGATCATGGGCTGGTCCGGAATCTATTTCTTTCAAAAGTGTTGCGTCAGGTTTACGTTAAGTGGCTTTCGTCCACCTTCGCACCTTCGGATCGATTAGAAATGTGTGAATACATACACTATGACTATACGTTTCACTGCAACTGCCCACAACACAACATGTAAAAACTCTCTCTCAAAAAAAAAAAAAAAAAAAATAGACAAAAAAAAAAAAAGAAAAAACGCCGACCCAAAAATGTATATCGTTTAAAAGTATACTGAACGACCAGTGTTATTACGACTCGGGGGTATGACTTCCTCTCACATTTTGTCATTTGGTGGCGCACTTTCGGCGAGTCGGAAATCCGGAAACAGTCCACCGTTTCACGATAGGTGGGCGTGGCTACAACACGAGAAATATCCCAAATTTACTTGGATACGAGTAATTATTTTCAGCAAAAAAATCAATAACTGCCCATATAAGTGGGACACAGATCTAAAATGGGAAACGTGAGGGTGGGCATTGCACAGGCACTTTAAGTCAATATATTATACATGTACATCCTATGAACTTTGATCAGACATCTTGAAAATTGTTCTATACTGTGGAATACTTTATTTTCGCTGGAATTAATATTTGCTGTAAAAGCTTTTGGAGCGTTTTGTATGGACTTTATTTTCACTGATTTTTGATGAGTTTAATGTGAAATATAGGAAAAAAAGTATATTAGCTGGATTTTATTTTCACGGAATCATCCCTTCAGCGAAAATAGCGAAAATAAATTCCAAGCGAAAATAAAGTATTCTACAGTAATTGAAATTTACATTTCTTACTATGATAGGTGCAGATAACCAGTACAATGTAACAAAATTACACTATGCTGTAAATTACGGTGATACAGTGATACAGGGGTGTAATGAATTTTTTGAAATTTCTGAGGATATAATAATATAACCCATCAACCCTTTGAATGTAAAATCAAATTTTGTCACCTCCTCCCACAAAATAAGTCTCCATGATTTTCTCAAAACCGTTTTCACCAAAATTTGAAAGACATATAACCATGAATGGAAAATTATGTTCATTTGATAAAAATTATGGAAGAAATTATAGAAAAATACATAAAAATATGCAATATTTTTCACCAAAATTAATAGGAAATGATGTACAACTGTGGATGCAGAGATGAATGCTATAACTTACCTTCTTTTTAGCTTTTGTTGGGGATGGTTGAGGTTCTGAAAATTCCTCTTTCTTCTTCTCTGTAACAGGTTTGTTTTCTTTCTCAACCTCCTAAAAACAATAAATAAATAAATCTGAATTTTAGACGAAATGTGGTATTTTTTTTTTTAGAAAATACAATATTTTCCTATGAGAATAGAAAGTTTAGTACAGGCATACACAAAATATACATGTACTTTCATCAGAATGATATGAGATACGCATTCTGGAGAAAACTGCACGGATAGAGTAATAAGTTAACACAAATGGCGCTTACCTGTCTTACTTTTCTTTCTCGTTTCTTCTTTGGTGCCTCAGTTTTCATTTCCTCAATATTTTCTTTATCTTCTTCATTCTTAACATCCTGTACTTTCTTCTTCATCACTTTATTTTCTTCCATCTTCTTTTCCTGTTCCTCCTGTTTCATCACCTCCATTGCAATTCTCTCAATCATTGGTGAACTCACTGGAGATACATTTCTGTTCATTTGACGTTCTTCCAAGTTGTTTTTCTTCTTAGCAGCCGCTTCATCCTCTTTCTGTTGTTGACGACTCAGTTTCTTTTCTCGTTTGGTCATGGGAGTGATCCATTCACCTAGAACACGGAATATTTAAAATTTTATAGTTTTATATATTTACACATATTTGTTGTTACATATGAAATTAATATAAATTTGGCACATGGTCAGTGAAATCAAAAAAGGCTAGGATTTCAATTTCCTAACAGTAAATTATGCAGGGATTTCATCAGGAGTACAATGCAATGCACTAATGATCGATGTTATGATTACCTTTAAAGAAACTGTAGAAAACTATATATGAAAAATATGTAGTACCAATAATTTTGAAAGAACAATTTTAGTATTCAAAGGACTGTAATTATGGCATTAATCAGACTTTGTAGTTTTGCTGAGCTCTAGCAGACCTACAAAATATGTCAATCATATGAATAACATTTTGAGTTTTTAAAAACTTCTTTTTATATGATTGAATCGTGACTAAACCAGTAATTATATTACAAAGTTCCCGTTATCAAGTTTAAGAAATAAAGTTTTGTTTATCGTAATATAGTTGGATATATGAATGGTCATGAGATATGGATTCAGAACTGCATTTGTTAAAATGGCTGTCAGTTGGCCATTTTAAATCTGATTTGAAAAAACAAAATGACATGCATCAAGATCTTATAATGTCCAATATAAGAAGTAAGTTTGAATAAGATTCGTCCATACATGACCAAGCTCTGATTCCAGAATGGCAAAAATGCTTGACTTGATGAATTTTTAGCATAATAATGGTGACTATTTGGCCATCTTGAATCGGTTCATAAAACAAATATTCATGCATAAGTCACCCAAGATATGTGATGTATTTTTGATGTTTGCATGTCCGAGATACAGGTGGACCACATGCACACACATGGGTCAGAACATAAGTCTCTGCTGCTGTGTCCAAACAGAGAATAAAAACCTTCAAGATAAATTTGCATTAAGTCGCATGCCATGTTTCATATCAATAATCCACACAATCATTTTATCTTTTCAGGGTGGTAAATGCAATCAATATAAGCTCCAATATGTTCTTAGGTTGACATGCGCAGACACAGAAGCTTTTGACAGCTTCACCTACAGTATCAATTGATAAAAAAAACATCAACAGACACTGACAACTATCACCAGATTAGCCTACAGCACAACATTTATATTTATACAAAATTTAGTTGTCTGTAGATGTTACACTAAGAAAATATTGTGAGCTTATATAAATTATATAAATAATCCCTATTGTTTTATTTTCTCCTGATTTCTTCATTGTTTTTTTTAAAAAGAGAACCGCTGAACAGATTGCCATCAATTTTAGGAAAATTATGAACTTGTGCACTTGACTTTCAAAATTTTTATTGTCACATGGTTTCAGCAGCCATATTGGTGTAAAGTAAATAGTAAAACAGGAAGTGGTCAATTTAACATATAGAAATTTAGGCGAGAAAGTCTGGTGGTGAAAAGGTTAAAAAAAACAGAAGTTCTCTACATGATTTATCATACTTCCGGGGGTTTCAGCAAGGTGACAATATCACTGATATATGATATACTGTAAAAGGGTTAATTATTCACTGGGTTTTAATTTTGCTTATTTCGCTGACTGGAAAAATGCGCTAAATTAAAACCCAGTGAATATGTAAAATTGAGCATAGAACACATTATCTAAATGATAAAGCTGTGAATTTAAAACCCACTGAATATGCCTGAAAATGTAAATCAGTGAAATTCAAACCCAGTGAAAATTAGTCATTTTTCAGTAAGATCAGCCACCTTAATAGATTAAAAGTGGAAACTGTGCACATGGTTGAGGAGATTTAAATGACTAATAGTTGGCAATGTGACCTCATTAAATATGTGCATATATAATTCCTGGAAATAGATTATAACTGGATACTGTGCACATGGTTGAGAAGATTTAAATGACTAATAGTTAGCAATGTGACCTCATTAATTATGTGCATATCTAATTCCTGGAAATAGATTATAACTGGATACTGTGCACATGGTTGAGGAGATTTAAATGACAAATAGTTAGCAATGTGACCTCATTAATTATGTGCATATCTAATTC